AAATGGAAATCTTTTTAGAGTACAGGCCAACCCCACACGGCCCCTATCAGCGAAATATCTAGATATTTGATATCTTCCCCATGAATTTTTAATACTCTCAACTCCATGTCATCTGGGTTCTCTGCAGAGAGAAGTAATTTACGCATGCAAATCGCTGCTCTTCATTCTGTATTCAGGAGGGAGGCAAGGGGGTGGATTGTGAGGAGTGCATCGAACTTCACCTTAACTGTGATTGGCACGGGTGGTCTTTTCATGCGATGGGTTTCCAAAGTGTTATAACAGAATAAAATGGAATTCGTATTAATGAGCGTCGCTGTATTTTGGAAAATTATGCAACAAAATAAGTTGTATCTGAAAGGAAAGTGGGCTGCTGTCTAAACCAGGAGGAATCAAGTATTGTGGTAGCAGAAAATTTAAATAAAGTTAAGTCTTCCAAACGTGACAGGAGAGCCTGGTAACTGCCATTCACACACATACACACACACACACACACACACGAACAAGCGAGTGTGTGTGAAGGGGTTCAACACACAGACTTTCTTCTGGGGGAGGAGGGGTGGACGCTGTTTCCTGACAACAGTGGGGGTGCACAGGAGGAGACACAGTGCGTTGGTAGTAGGGGAGACACCATTCTTCAGCGAGGACTTCGCTGGTGGTTAGTGACAGAATAAAGCAACCAGGGCTTTATCATGCTTAACCGATGGCCAGGTTTCCCACACACCTGTTGCGTTAACTTTACCACCTTTCTGAGCTTCCTGACGTGCCCCACTTTGTTGAGAAAATGCCCAACTGGGGCCTGCATGTGGTTCTTGTGGCCACTGCACTGGGACCTGCCCCCACCCCGCCCCCCATTGCTCCGAGCTGGAGAGCCGGCAAGCATTCCCAGTTCACTGAATGAGGGCTGGCCCGGCATCCACTGGGCAGTCCCTAAGGCCAAACCTGCTTCCCTTTGGGCATCGCCAGCTGCCTGGGCCACGGCACCCAGGTCTCAGAGAGCTGGCGTCTGGTGCTGCCTGCAGGACACAGGACAGTGGCGGGTCCACAGAAGGGGTCTCTCGATCCATCCGTGTTCTCTGTGGTCTGGAGGTCCTCTGGGGCCCTCACACACAGGAAGATGAAGTTTACCTTCATGCTATCTCTGGCTCCGTACAGCTCCCACAAACTTAGATCGGAGTCAGTGTTTATCTCATAAGACTGCTTTTTTTTTAAGAAGCTGCGTTCTGAAATGCCTTGCTCAAATGTCATCCCATCCAGGTATCGTTTTCCAAAATGTCAGGTGCGAGTCCACACGGGCACCGTGGCAGTGAGCTGTGAGTCCCCTGCTTTCATTTTCAAACACAATTTGAATTTCCTCTAGAATGCATCACAAAAATAAATCAAATGTGCATGATTAGCTCTCTTTTTATCCAAATGGACATATCCCCAAGAGATACTGTCATTCAGAAAATTGGAACCAGCACTTTCCACAATATTCAAAACAGCAGATTCTGTCCTTTATAAAAATGTGGTGAATCTTGTAGAAAATGATACATCTCCGCTACTCATACTGGCCCCACTCACAGGTTTTAATGTCCGTACAAATTGACTAAAATGAAAGTGACATGATTTTAGAGGCCTTTTAAGCTGAAAGCGTGGTTACCTTCATCTGAAGAATAATGGCCTGTCAGGGACACAGCACACAGAACATCATTAAACTGACGGGCACCCAGCCTGCTTACTTCCAGCACTTGGTATTTAGATGCAGCATAAAGCTGAGGTCAGACCAAAGGTAATGAAAATACTAATCAAAATACAATTCGGGCAGCTGGAGTCACCAAAAACCATTTAATATTTTGTGTCCGTCCAGTCACCGGATGCCTTTGAGAGAAACAGCACTGGCCCGTCTCAGAGTGCCTTGAACCAGCCAGCCCGCAGCACCAGCAGTCTCAGAACCACCTGACAACTAAGAGTCCGTCACTTTCCACAGTGGCCCTAGTTTGTTAGAGGTCCCATAATAATGTCCCAAGGACACAGGGGCTTAAAACCAGACTTGTGTTTTCTCATGGTTCTGGAGGCTGCAAGTCCAAGGTCAAGGCGTCAGCCAGGCTACTTCCTCCCAAGGCCCCTTCCCTCAGTTTGCAGGCCTCCAAATTCCCTCCACTGGTCTTCCTTCCGGGCGCATCCCTGGTGTTTGTCTGTCTTCTGACAAGGACATCGGTCTGACGGGGTCACGGCCCCTTCTCACTTGGTCATCTCTTCCAAGGCTCCGTCTCCAAACAATCACATGGGGTGAGGGCTTCCACACATGAGTTTAGGGAGACACACACGTGGCCTCTTGTGCATTTGTGACTGTTACACCCTGGTCGCTGACACCCCCAAGCTGTGCACCCACATGCACGGCGGGTTGTTGTCCGTTCGAGGGTCTGCAACTCGGGCATCAGGCAGGCCTTTCACTCAAGCCCCATTTGCATTTTCAAACAAGGGTGGAAGGAGGAGAAGGCTGCAATTCATCAGGGTGGTCAGAGTCTCTCTCTCTCTTTCTTTTAAATCCTTCATTTTGCCCGTTTTTTTCCTTGAAGCTTAGTGGAAAATGAACAGATTCCAATGGGAACGCCAGAAAAAATAACTCCCAACTGTTTTTCTAAAGAGCACACACGAGTGGATTTGTATTACCACAAAATAATCACAGGATTAGTCTTCTCTTTTCAGAACTCTGAAGTGGGCTTACTTTTCTTCCTCTCCATTCATAACAATATTCTACAAAAAAATTCTCCTTTTGCTCCCAATTGGGACCTCCTCTCTGCCCTATAACTGACCCTTGCCGAGGTATACTTAGATAAACAAAAATCCTAAAACATCAATTTCAAAGAACCTATGCACCACAATGTTCATAGCAGCACAATTTACAATAGCCAAGAGTTGGAAGCAACCTAGGTGCCCATCAGTAAATGAATGGATCAAAAAATTGTGGTACATATACACAATGGAATTCTATGCAGCAGAGAGAAAGAAGGAGCTACTACCTTTTGCAACAACATAGATGGAACTGGAAAGCATTATGCTGAGTGAAATAGGCCAGGCATTGAAGGACAAATACCATATGATCTCACCTTTGACAGGAAGCTAAAGAATAAAACAAACAAGCAAACAGAATAAAAACAAAAACGCTGAAATAGAGAACAAGTGGGCAGCGACCAGAGGGGAGAGGGAAGGGAACTTAAGGGGAAAAAGGGGGAGGGATTTTGAGGAACAAGTATGAAAGACACAGTGATGAGGACTGGGGGGGGGGAATGGGAGGGAGGGGGGAGACCGGGCGGGGGGGGGAAGAGGGAGAATATAAAAAAATGTACTTGAAAAGTAACTAAATAAAATTTAATATTAAAAAAAAGAAATACACTAAAGAAAATAACTTCCCAACTTTGTTTTTCTTATAAGAGAAACACACGCCAAGGTTTGGGGACATTTGGCTGACATTACCACAAAATAATCAAGATTATAACAACAGATAGTCTTAATCTGAAATTGGTTCTTCTCGGGCCCGCCAACCCCAAAAAGAACTGGTCTGTGCTCTGGTCAACCAGTGGCAGCTGCGGGACAGGCGCGGAGCACCGGGAGCGGCCAGAGCGGCAGAGAGCATGCGCAGAGGAGCGGGGGCCGTTGAAAGGCTCAGGGCCTCGTTCTTACTGGCAGGAGACTTAGGAGTGAGAAAGTGCAAATCACCAACAGGGAAGTTAAAACCAACCAATTTTGTTTCATCGCTTTTGCAAATGTGTCCCTCTCTGGTGGCAAGGGGCCGTGCAGAAGGGGGGGACTCGCTAAGACGGAATCCGCATGGGGGTGTGTTTGCTGCTGCTGTCAGAACAATCAGTGTATAAGGGCTTGACTCCACCACATGGTGGGGGGCTTTCACCCCAAAACAATCACTACGAGGAACTGAGTGGGTCTTTGCAATATTCTCCAATACTGTTTTTGCAGGCCTCTAAAAGGAGACACAATTTCCTGGTTTTGGGAGAAGAACATTCCCCAGAAAAGCACTCATTTCTCTGGGGTCTGCTATAACGAAGGGGCAGCGATGGAGGGAAAAGCTAAAATGTTACAGGGGAGGCGGGCACAGAGGATGAGCGGTGCCTGGGTTGGAGCAAACTTCAGGCAGCCTTAGGTATTTCCTTCTTAAGCCATGGAAGTAGAGAAGTTTGAATCCAAGAAATGCAAATATACGTTAAATGAATGAAAGGGAACCACCGAGTCCCCTGTTTCTGCAGACAGCGAGGGCACCCCGTATGACCCATCCTCTCCACGGCTGCAGCTGCAGAGCCTGGAGGGTCACGCAGACACAGTAACCAGACCACCACGGGGACATGGCCGTTGTATGCTGGGCAGACCCCGCCAAGGGTGCACCATCAGAGGGACGGTTGTTGGAACATCCACCAGGACAGTTGGCAGCAGAGCAGGAGACGGAAACTCCAGTCAGAGCAGGCACTGGAAGCGCAGAAAGAACCGGCACTCGAGGGGGGGGGGGGGGAGCGGCAGCCCCGTGGGCCCGACGACAACCTCGCTGGGGCGCGGAGAGGCCTGCGCACCTGCGCATGTGTCTGCCCTCCACACCCCAGCCGACAAGGACAGAGTGCAACTTTGTTGCAAATGCACTCGGGACATCTACTGGTGTTTCCCATGGCATCCATCAGACAGCCTGCAAATTTCAAAGATGTGAAATCATTCGGACCCTGTTCTTTGAACAAAGTGGACTGAGCTAGAAATCAGTAACAACAGAATGAGGAGCAGAAACTCACCCATGGATTAGTGAGTGAACAATGCGTTTTGAAATAATCCCTAATTAGAAGTTCAGAGCAAATTCTAGGAAAATAAACATTTTAACTAAATCATAATGAAATTTCCAGACATCAGCAGGTGTGGATAAAAGTAAGTTCATGCTCAGAGGAAAACTTATAACAAAAAGGGAAGGAGCAGTCATTTCCTTTAGTTCCATTTTCTACAGTTACTACTGGTAACATATTGGCGCATACATTTCTAACTTGATTTCATGATTCTATCACTTTATATTTGTTGAAGTACAAGCTTTAACTCTGTTTCAGGAGTTAGTTTAAAAATTATGTGCTATAGTGAACAGTTTTTACAATCGCCCATATATGTATATACAAAATGTTATGTATATGAGCACATATTGTCCACACTACTGTCTAATGAACAGCATTATTTTTATTTCTTTGACAATATTTTATTTCATAAATTATTGTTTTATACAAACTGGTATTGCTGAAAATTATCATTTAGGCTGTTATAAATCTCTTGTGGGGGTATGATTCTCTTATTTATTTAGGATAAAGCTTAGAACTCCTAAGAGGGCAAGGAAAATAAAGCACACCAAAAGCCTCCATCCTGCTTTCAGGCACTGCATCAGGCCAGGCCAGGCCAGGGTGAGACAACTAGCTGGACGAGGTGCTAGCAAGTCTGCATATACTTCCTGTGGATGGGCACTGCCCTCAAACTCTGAAAGTGCATCTAGAGGAGCAGGAGAAAAATAAACATTCACACACACATACATGATTTTTCCTGGCTTTTCTAGAGACAGGAATGGTGTCACTGCTTTAAGAAAACTCCTGCCAATGAACCTCCCCTTCCCAGGGCATCTTCCCAAAGTGCAGTCCCCTCACCTTCTGGTGAAGCACCCTGGGGCGCTGGATATTCCAGATTGACCCCAAGTACTTGGGCCTCCCACAGCTGCTGTGAATCAGCAAAGTTGAAGGACACCAAGTCCTGCTTCAGATGGAACCAAGACAAACGTAGGGGCTGGCTAAACTCCTGAACCTGGTCCAGCCAGGCTCCTTCTGGAGAAGCAATAGTCCTGGGGAGAGGCAGTTGGGCGGCACAGTCAGAGTCTGGAATTCTCCTTCTAAGCTGTCCTCCCAGGGCAACACTTCTTGGGACTACACCTCTCTGCATGCCCATGTCTAACCAGGGGCCACCCCAAGGCCAACCCTGACGCTTGTGGGCTGTCCAAGGAAGAGGAGGCATGGAAATGCAATGGGTTTAGCATCAAAACCCTGTGAGTCTTTTCTTTCCAATGACATTTCTTCTCAAGGTTTATACCATGCCTTCCCCAACCATTCGTGAACCTGCTCATCTAGACTGAGGTTTGAGATAGATTGGTGAGAAGGCTCTGACCACATCTCCTGCTTGAAGCCTGAGGATGGTGGTGAGGAGAGTTGACTCTGGAGAGGGGTCAGCTGAGCAGAGCAGACTCTGTTGGGTTAGGGACCCTAGGGCAGAATTCAGCCCAGCATTTGTCCAATTCTATGAGGCCAGAGTCCCTATCCACACTTCTCCGAATTCTATCTTGTTGGGCTACAAGCCACCAGGGATCAGGCTGCCCTCAGATATCAGATCTATAAGATCTCGCTGCTGCCAGACCTTTCCTCCCACATCCAGTGTGCACAGGACACAGGGTGTCTATCTTTTGGACACAAACCCCCCCCCCTGCTTTTCACTTGATCCCTTGGTGACTGATCATGGTCATTATAAGCAGGTTGTCCTACAGCTGCCAAGAACACCTTGATGGGGGGGTTTCAAGATGGCGGTGGACTAGGACGGAGCAGATACCAGTTCCTAGTACAAAAGAGACAGAAACCTATCCGATCGGAGGAGGTGAGGCCAGCAAGCCAGCAGTTGCCAAGCATATATGAAAATAAGAGACCAGAAACCTCATCGGTCACGGAGGAACCAGACGAGTCACAATCAACTTGAAAATATGAAAAGACCAGAGCTGGACCCATAGAAGAGGCCTCCCAATAGTAGAGTCAGAGAGACAAACTGCACATTGTTGTAGGAGAGAAGCCACAAGTTGCTGCATATTTGAGTAGGTGGAAGCAGAGAACAACAGGATAACCAAAAGAGGCTGCACCATTGAAATTCACAGGCATTCCACCACAAAAGTTCATACCATAAACCCAGGGTGTCAAAACAGATTAATCTAAGAAGCTGAGGCTAACAAGAAGAGTCTCACAAACAATGGGAAGACAAAGAAACAATCCCCAAATGAAAGGAAAGGAGGAATCCTCAGAAAGAATGTTAGATGAAACAGAGGCAAGTCAACTATCAGATACTGAATTCAAAGCACTGGTGGTCAGGAAGTTCAAAGAGCTCACAATCAGCTACCAGAAACTACAGGGAAGTTACAATGATCTCACTGTGAACTATACCAACATGAAAAAGGAAATGGAAATTATTAGCAAGGGCCAAGAGGAAATGAAGAATACAATTTCTGAATTAAAAAACACAGTGGAAAGCATTAAAAATAGGGTGGATGAAACAGAAGATCGGATTAGTGAATTGGAGGACAAAGTAGAAAGCATCTCACAGAAAGAACAGGAAAGGGAAAAGAGGCTCAGAAAGAATGAAGAGAGATTAAGAGAAATGCAAGACAATATGAAACGTAATAATATCCGAATAATAGGAATACCAGAAGGAGAAGAAGAAGAACAAGGGATAGAAAACATATTTGAAAGAGTAAAGAGAGAAAATTTCCCTAATTTGACAAAAGAAAAAGTCACAAAAATCCAGGAATCTCACAGAGTCCCATTCAAGAGGAACCCAAAGAGGCCCACTTCAAGACACATCATCATTAAAATGGCAAACTTCCAAGACAAAGAGAGAATCTTAAAGACAGCAAGGGAGAAAAAAGAAATAACATACAAGGGCATCCCAATAAGGTTAGCCACTGACTTCTCAATGGAAACACTCCAAGCAAGAAGAGATTGGCAAGAAATATTCCAGGTAATGAGAACCAGAGGCCTACAACCAAGGCTACTTTACCCAGCAAGGCTCTCAATCAAGATAGAAGGCCAAATAAAGAGCTTCCAAGACAAAAGAAGTCTAAAAGAATTTGCTGCCACCAAGCCAGTTCTACAAGAAATACTAAAAGGTCTGCTCTAAGGAAAGGAAGGAAAAGAGACAGACAGAGAGGAACACAGATACAAAAATGGCAATGAATAAGTACCTATCAATAATAACCTTAAATGTAAATGGATTAAATGCTCCAATCAAAAGACACAGAATAGCGTCATGGATAAGAAAGTATGATCCACACATATGCTGCCTACAAAGAGACCCACCTCAGGACAAAAGACCATCACAGACTAAAAATCAAAGGCTGGAAACAAATTTTCCAAGCAAACGGACAAGAAAAAAAAGCCGGGGTAGCAATTCTCATATCAGACAAAATAGACTTCAAAAAAAGAGCCATTAAGAGTGACCCAGAAGGTCACTTCATAATACTCAAGGGAAAAATCCACCAAGAAGACATTAACATCATAAATATATATGCACCCAACATAGGAGCACCAAAATATATAAGGAAAATCTTAGAGGAATTCAAGAAAGATATAGACAGCAACACAATTATAGTGGGGGATTTTAACACCCCACTATCAAAAATGGACAGATCTTCCAAACAAAATATCAACAAAGACATTGTGGCATTAAACAACACCCTTGATGAAATGGACCTAACTGATATATACAGAGCTCTTCACCCCAAAGAAGCTAAATACACATTCTTTTCAAATGCACATGGAACATTCTCAAAGATAGATCACATGATAGGGCACAAAACAAGCCTCAACAAATTCAAGAATATTGAAATCATACCAAGCATTTTCTCTGACCATAAGGGACTGAAACTGGAAACCAACCCCAAAGGAAAAAACCCAAAACACCCAAAATCATGGAGACTGAACAGTATGCTATTAAACAATGAATGGGTCAAGAATGAAATTAGGGAAGAAATCAAAAAGTTTCTGGAAACAAATGAAAATGATCTCACAACAACCCAAAACTTATGGGATACAGCCAAGGCAGTCCTGAGAGGGAAGTTTATAGCAATACAGGCCTACCTTAAGAAAACAGAAACATTTCAAACAAATGAACTTACTCTACGCCTGCAAGAACTCGAGGAACAACAACAAAAACAGCCCAAAGCAAGTAGAAGGAAGGAAATAACTAAGATCAGAGCAGAACTAAATGACATAGAGACTAAAAGTACAATTCTAAAGATCAATGAATCCAGGAGTTGGTTCTTTGAAAAAATAAACAAAATAGACAAGCCTTTAAGTAGGCTCATCAAGAAAAGAAGGGAACGGACACAAATAAACACAATCAGAAATGAAAGAGGAGAGATTACAACTGATACCACAGAAATAGAGAGGATTGTAAGAAATTACTATGAAGAACTGTATGCCAAGAAATTTGAGAACCTAGGGGAAATGGACACATTTCTAGAAAAATATAATCTCCCAAAACTCAATGAAAAAGAAGTAGAACACCTGAATAGACCAATAACAGCAAAAGAAATTGAAGCAGTAATCAAAAAACTCCCATCACACAAAAGCCCTGGACCAGATGGATTCACAGGAGAATTCTACAAAGCATTTAAGGAAGACCTAACCCCCATTCTTCACAGACTATTCCAAAAAATACAAAAGGATGGAAAACTCCCTAACTCCTTTTATGAAGCCAGCATCATCCTAATTCCAAAACCAGATAGAGATACAACAAAGAAAGAAAACTACAGGCCAATATCGCTGATGAACATAGACGCTAAAATCCTCAACAAAATATTAGCAAATCGCATCCAACAATATATCCAAAAGATTATACACCCTGACCAAGTGGGATTCATCCCAGGGATGCAAGGATGGTTCAACATTCGCAAAACAGTAAATGTAATTCATCACATAAACAAAAGCAAAGACAAAAACCACATGATCATATCAATAGACGCAGAAAAAGCTTTCGATAAGGTACAACACCCATTTATGATAAAAACACTCAGCAAAATGGGAATAGAGGGAACATTCCTCAATATAATAAAGGCCATTTATGAGAAACCTACAGCCAATATCATACTCAATGGACAAAAACTAAAAGCTTTTCCACTAAGATCAGGAACAAGACAAGGATGTCCACTTTCACCACTCCTATTCAATATAGTATTAGAAGTTTTGGCCACAGCGATCAGGCAAGAAAAGGAAATAAAAGGCATCCAAATAGGAAAGGAGGAAACAAAATTCTCACTGTTTGCAGATGACATGATAGTGTACATGGAAAATCCTATAGACTCTACCCAAAAACTGCTCAAACTAATTAATGAGTTTGGCAAAACAGCAGGATACAAAGTCAATATCCAGAAATCAAAGGCATTTTTGTATACAAACAATGAATCAGCAGAAGCGGAAATCAAGGAAAAAATCCCATTCGATATAGCAAAAAGAAAAATAAAATATCTGGGAATAAACCTAACCAAAGAGGTAAAAGACCTGTATGCAGAAAACTACACAGCACTGAAGAAAGAAATCAAGGAAGACACAAACAAATGGAAACATATACCTTGTTCATGGATTGGAACAATTAACATCATCAAAATGTCCATACTACCCAAAGCAATATACAGATTCAATGCAATACCTATTAAAGTACCAATGGCGTATTTCACAGACATAGAACAAACACTTCAAAAATTTATATGGAATCATAAACGAGCCCGAATAGCAGCTGCTCTTTTGAGAAAGAAGAACAAAGTAGGAGGGATCACAATACCTGATATCAAACTGTATTACAAGGCCACTGTAATCAAAACAGCCTGGTACTGGCATAAAAACAGGCACATAGACCAATGGAACAGAACAGAGAGCCCAGAAATCAACCCAACCCTCTACAGTCAATTAATATTTGACAAAGGGGGCAGTAACATAAAATGGAGTAAAGATAGCCTCTTCAGCAAATGGTGTTGGGAGAACTGGACAGCTACGTGCAAAAAAAATGAAACTTGAGCACCAACTTACACCATAC